TGGCAGGATGCTCCTCCATTCCCTCACCACAATCCCCAAATAATGCTTTCTCCTGCATCGTAGAGCAAAGGGCTTAGAAAACCCAACACAGTCTCAATAAGAAAACAGAGGTGGTTGGAGATAACTTCTGAGCACTTTCTTTAGTAGTTTCTGTTTGTGGAAAATACGCTCTCTTGCTGCCTTTGATCTCTTTCTGATTCACTGAAACAGGTTGCCCAGAGAGGAGGTGAAGTCTCTGCCTGGAGATACTAAAAAACCGTCTGAACGTGGTGTTGGGCACCAGTTTTAGGTAGAACTTCTTGAGCACGGCGGGGCTGTGGATGACCTCTGGAGGTCCCTTCCAATCTCTTCTGTGGTTAGGAGGTCACATCCTTAAGATAAGGTCTCTGCCCTGGCAGCTCATGCCTTGTCACCCCGTGACTGAGCCAACATCTTCTGTGCAAACTGCACCTTGAGGTCACCCAAAGCTGCAGCACTGCTTAGCAGTGCTTGGCCAGAGCTGCTCGTGCACCTTCCTTAGGGTCTGCATGACACCTTGCTTAGGATACAGACGAATGCACTAACTTAGAGCAATAATATTCAAATAACTTCGATCCTAGACACCTAAAAGGCAACGCCGACCGCGTAGAAGTGGATGCTGCACGCTGCCGAGCCGCAGCGCGTGCTCGGGAGGTGACAGGTCTTAGAGAAGGTTCTTAACCTTGCTTTCCAGGGCACAAATGTAACACATCCTCGAGTCATATGGCAGAGCATTTTTATTTTTTTTTTTCTAATAGGCCTATTTTGGGAAAATGGGCTAGAGAGTCCTAGATTAGCTTTAGTATTTTGGACGTTAGTCCTACTTTTGTACACGCACCCAGATGAATTTTAAGTTTTGATACAAACGCAGTACCTGGAGTTTTAAAAGCCTGGATAAACAATAGCCTGTCTGAACGTATCCCAAGAATAAACGACTCTAAGCTAGCAAAGAAAGGCTTAACAGGAGCTATTGTCTGGCATCTGAAGCCAGACATGTTCAAAGTAGAAATCAAGCCCCAATTTTTAATGGGGAGGGTGAGTAACCATTAGAACGAACTGCAAAGGGTGTGATGGTTCCTTGGTCTCTTGCTGCCTTTGAGGCAAGATGTCTTTTGGACAGGAATTAAGCCAGTAACAGGTTTGTGTTGCTTACATTGACTTCAGCAAAGAGAGGGAGAATTGGCTGAAATGAAGTGGCCCACATTTGTAGAAATGCAAACATCCACTCATCATTTCTCCTTTCCTTCACCATTCAACAACCAGGTTTACGAGCAAGATGAAACTTGGTTCTTCAGCAGGTCAGTAGCTGGTAGCATAACAGTCTTGGGGCCTCTGTCCTCACCACTGATGCTCTCCTGCGTGGCTGGAAGCCCAGGATTTAGCCCCTCTGTCCATATTTTACTTTGACAAAATGGTGATGTTTCTCTTTCCCAAGGACAGAAGGCTCTTAATTTATTTGTAAAGCCTTTTTTTAAGAACTTACTGAGGGAGGTATTAGTGAAATACAAAGCGGTGCCGTTATTTTTTACTATGTGACTCACTCAGAAATTAAAAAGGAAAATCAATTTCTTTTCCAAATAAGTGATATGAGCCTCGTCTTTACCAAGTGACTTCCTTGCCTCTGCAGAGTGTGGTGGATCAGGGTGAACTGTTCTTCAAAACATCTAATTGCATACAGTGAGAAATGAAGAAAACTGAAGTGGATCCCAAGAATGTATTAAAAATCTAAACTAAAATGAGAATGATTTCATGTCAAGTGAGACAAATGCAGAGTTGATACTCCACTGCTTCACACATCCACTTGTCCTTGGCACCGAGAAAATGAGATTTTTAATATCTGAAAAACAGATTGCCACGAAGACTCATCCATTGTAAATTTAAGCTGCCTTTATAGCAACTTAAGCCGGGGACAGGATTGTTCATTACAACCGATTCTACAACTGTGGCCATGATTTCCATATTAATATTGAATTTTTTTTATTGTCTGCCCCAGGAAGGAAGGGGAACAGGTAGTGTGTTATCCCTGGGTTAGCAGATAATGTATTTAATGAATAATGCGAGAAGGGCAAAGGTTTGTGCGTTCATGCTTGCATATCAGCCGTGGATTGTGGTGACACCTGTGCTGGGATTAAGCCCGGTTTGGTGCTTTGCTTGATGCTAAATTAGACCGAGCAGAAGAGTATCGATGATCTTATAATCATCATTTGGTGGTGGTGGTGGACGTTATGCTGTTTTGGGCTGAATTTTTTCCCTAAAATTCGAGGTGAGGGATTGCTTCTCGTCTGAAATCACAAAGCCAGTTTATTTAACCCTTAATAGGGGTGCAGGGAGAGCGGGGTATTTCTACCGAACTTCAGATCACTGTTGAGCCTAACACTGTAACCCTTTTCAAATCTGCCCTTCTGTTCTGGCAGCAGATGTCAGAAATGCTGGTTTCTTCTCCTTTTTGTTTAATTTCATTTGCTTTTGCAATTCCAGCTGCCGAGGCAGACCTGAGGATTCCCTGACCTGCCTTGCAGTGTGGCTTTGTCTGAGAATTTACGATTGCATCCAGACTGCAACAGTGCCACCTCAACCTCTTTAGAGCAAAAATTGCGACTGCCTCATATTTTCTTGTGAGCTCTCTCTTGGTTATTTCTGCTGAAATTTGAGCATCCTTTTTATCTGCCCTCACAGATCTGGAGTAGCTTGGAAAAGTTCCTTCTCCCTGCTCTGTTCACATCCCAGATCTGGGCTGGATCCTAATAGCTCTTCATTTATAACATCTGAAGCCTGTACCTTCCTTTTTTTTTTTTTTTGTTCCTTCCATTAGCATCACTAAAATCATTGTCCTACCTTTGTCATCTCACACCTGAGTTACTGCAGCCTTTTCTTTGGCTCTCTGTATCTCATCCCCTCGTGTTCCAGTTTAATGCCGTGTTTCATGATGATGGAAGGTGATCTTTTCTTCCCTTTGTGGGTTTTGTTCTCTGCTCCTTCCACACTCCTCGCCCTCAAAGCACGTCTTTCTCTGCGGAATCCAGTTCTCTATCACTAGCCTCTCTGACCTTCAGAAAGTTTGTATATATTTAAATCTAATTTGTTCCTCTTTGGAAAACAAAACAGTTCTCTGTATTAAACTCAAAAATTGGCAATAAGTCAACTGCATGATCTCATTATTTTCTTTTTTTTTTGTGACTGCTTCAGGGAAAATGTTTTAAATACTGCTAACAGATTTAACCGAGAAGTGTTTTGGTATAGAGCTATCTTTAAAAGGGTTTGGGTGGCTGAGACTGCAAGGGACCTGGGTGTTTGTCTTTTCCATCCATCAGTTTTCCCGTGTCAAGGTTCCTCTCCCAGACCACGGTACGTGACCTGTGGTCCCCTGGGACCACGCATCTCGTCTGCGACCTTGCTCTTGGCAGCCTCCTTTCCTGGAGAGCGAGAAGGCAGCTCGAGACCTAGATGTGGGCCAAATGAATTGGTTTGGAAGTGGCAGCAGCCAGCTCCCCTCCCTGAAAACACCCAGCTCGTGCCTTTGCCAACCTGGGTGTGAGCAACTGTGGGGAAAGCTTTAAAGCCCTGCTGGAAGGTGGTGGCCAGAAGCTGCCTGCTGCTCCTTCTGGAAAAGCTTATTGTCCGAAGTTTTTCACCAGAAAATCAAAAACTCTCATAAATAATGCAGTGTGCACCTCGGGAGCCTGGCGTAGGCTGTGTACGCCCAGTGGGCTCCATCTAGAAGAGGTGCAGTTCTTCCCCAAACCTTCAGCAGGTCCTCGGGTGAGATAAAGGAAGATCCTTGCTGTAGCATTTGGACCACATTTAACGCTGAGAAGAGCCAAAGAGTGTCCAGCCACGAGGTTTGGGTGCTAATATTGCAGACAAACCCTTGTTGGAGCAGAGTGAACTATTCCATGTACATCCCCTTGCTTCCCTACCCAATTGCTTTTTTATTCCAGCTCACGTAAACCCAGAGCCTGAAGTGTAAATAATCCCTCTAGATCTTTCCACATCTGCCTGGATCTCATATCCAGCCTTTCTCTTCCCCGTCGGTTAATAGTTTGACTTTCGAAGCACTTTCAGTCTGTGTTAGTTTGTGGAGAAAGACATCAGCAGTGATAGCTGGAGAAATTTCTATTAGGTCATTCCTTTTCGGAACATAGTACCTGTCTTCTGAGCTCTTTGCGGATGTTAGCCAAATAATCCTTTTAATAGCTTTTGTGAGTTAAAAGGGTAGGTAACTGTCATAAGGCTAAATGATTGCACAGATTAATTTACTTGTGGCCAAAAGAAATCAATTGTAATTTAAATTTTTGTCTGTGGACTGATTACGCTACCAGACATCAACTTTCTCCTTAGGAATCTTCCAAGTGCATTGAAGCATACGTCTGTGATTATATAGATGATATAGATTATATGGATCTGGATTACTTACAGATTATCAAGAGTAATGTGAGTCATCATTTCCAGGTTTTAATCTGTTTGGTGTACACAAGCTCAGAATCCTCATCTGGTTGGCCTTGTTTAGATCTGTAAAGCGTTCATGTGTAACATGAGTCACTGCAGTCCATAGGGTGGTTGGGTACAAAGGATTATTTACCAGGCTTTAAGACCGTGGGTCTGCTGCAAACCATGGCAAAGCTTCTACTGAAGACAAAGGGAAGAAAGCAGATGAGGCTTTAATGGTTCACAGAGTAAAACATAGAAATTGAAAGAAGAAAATTCAGTGGTTCCAGGGAGCGTTTTCCTTAACCGTGTTTATATTTAGTGGTTGATATACATCACTTTCAACAGAAGGTGGATTTGGGTGATGGAGAAGAATCCTTTAGAGCCCATCATTGTTTTTCCTACTGGCAAGTGAAGTGATTTGGGGCTACTGCCTGGTGAAACTGCCAGAAGGTTGCTCTCTGTAAGCTGGTTGTATAATTGTAAACCAGATCACAAGAAGTCAATCTGTCTTTCACAGAAATATCTAACGTTTTTGTATCTCTTGTGTCTTACAGAATGGTGAATAACACTGAAGACCCCCAAGAGGCTTTATAACGTCCCATCCCCATGTAAAGTATGCTCAGAACTTTTCCAGTAGTGTAAGTACAAGCTAAAAACAAAACAGAAAGATGGTATCTTGAGAGATATTTTTCTGTTAATTTGTCTGGAAAGAGCAGAGAAATGGTTGCAGTGATAATCAGCAGTTTGCTAAGCTGGATAGTTCTACTGGTTTGGTATTTGCTTGATGTTTAGACCAGCGAACAGTAGCATTAAGTTCTTTGCTTGGTCTGGTTGATGCTTTTTTTCTATTCTACTTTTGTGTAACTGGAAGAGAAGGAAAATGATGCAGTGCTTAGAAACTCAGCCTTGATCAGAGAAAGAGTACCGTTAAAAGCTGGAGTTCTCCATACATCTCCTGAACAAAGTAGAGGGATGTTTAAGAGCTGTTTAAGAGATTTGAGCACTACCACAGACTTGGTGAAAGGAGATGAGTAAGCCCTGTAAGTTGTATAGCAAAGGCAAAAAAACAAACCAAAACAAAAAAATTAGCATTAAATGTGTTGGTTGAAGCCACAATTGCTGAATTGTGCCTCCTAGTGAAGTTGCCTAAATCTCATGCTTGAATTTGAGCCTATTAGTTCGTTCTTTTCAGTGTCTTATTGAATCTGGAATGTAATTGGTATCCATCCTGTTCTCTTCAATAAATAAGCAAATGAATTCAAAGTTTGAAGCTTGTCAGGCTGAAAGGAGCGGCTTGTCCTGTACTGTGCTGTCATCCATCTCTCTCACTGAAAAGTCCTATATCACTGTTCCCCATACCTCTTGTAGGCATGACTAAATGCTTGTCCAGTGGCAGTCAGATTCTTGAGGTGCTTTGACCTCTTGCCTGCTGATTGTACCTTCTGTCAGACTGAGTTAGGAAGAGAAATCCTGTCTTGAAGAACAGAATCAAGAAAGTGGGCTGCCGTGAATGCAGTCAGAGTTGTCCCAGATGGGTTATTTCAAGGATGAAGATAATTCAGCCAGCACATGGACATTCATAGTGCAAGTGCCAGTGCAACCATAGACTTCTCTGTAGTCACAGCAAAGAGTAGCAGCTGACAGAAGACTGGTTTGTATTGGAAATTGAACTACCAATGTACTTCAAGCAGGCTTCTTGACACAACCATTAATTAGTTATTTTCTGTTGCTGCTGACTTAGTCTTCCACTGGAAACTTGTGGTTTCTTACCCTGTTGACAGTGCCCTGGGTCTCCTTCTCTTCTTTGTTTTAGCTGGAAATATGTTGGGTTTCAGTGTTTAACAGCCAGCACCTGAAATTGTAAAGATCTAGTTCACAGCAGGAGAGAAGTCTGGAGGTAAGGCCGCACTGCCCCGTGCATCTTTATTATGCTGCTAATTCAGTCTGCAGAGTGATCTTAGAGCTCCTCTGTGCTTTGTATGAACACGAGGACGCTCTGGCAGCCTTAACTTTGAATCAGACTTCTAACAGACTTCCAAGCAATGAATTATATAGTCTAAATTTCCCGTGCTTTAGCCAGATATTAGGTGTGTTCTGCCCCTGTGCAGTTTTAGTAGGATGTCACATTATTCTGCTGCTTTCTGGAATCACTGTGGCACATTGACGTGTGGTGTTAATCAGCTGCCACCCCCATCAGGAAGGGAGCTGCTTTTTTGATTGATTCCAGTGTATGTGCAGTTAATACAGTCATCAAGAATGCAATATAAGTATAGGTGAATGATTTCTGACTGGGTGAAAGCTGGGGTGAAGCTATTTGGAGGGGGTTGGAAAGTATTAAATTAGAGGAAGTGGCCCAAGATGACCCAATTCAGTTTAAAGTTTCCAGATTGAACCATAGATATCTTTTTAAAAAGAAAAGTCATTAGAAAAACAGAGTAGTAGCACATCCCCCAGCCTATAATCCATTGTGAAATGATGACCCATCTTGTCTATCTGCTTGTAGTGACTATTCAAAAAAAAATACATGCATGGGCTATGTAGAGCAGGAATACAACTACCAAATCTATGGTGAAGATCAGAACTAGGATGCAGTCTGCAATTTGTTTTGATGAGCCCTCTAAGCAGGAAAGAGTTTCTTCAAAGTAATAAGCAATAGTGTAAGAGTTTAACTCAGATACTGAGTAAGATAAAAATGAAACAGCTGATATAGCAACTGCCCCCAGTTGTGTGCTCACCTCTCCAAGAGAGGTGAAGTAGGTTATAAAGCACTATCTGAGGCATTCAATTTTCAGGCCATGGTTTTAAAACAAGCTGAAATTAAAGTTGGTTTACATTAATGAATCAGGCTTAGAACTGCCATGGTTAGACGGTAGTTTGGTTATCCATACCCTGGGGCAGCATTCTCTGTCAGAAGAGCGAAGTAGGCAGCTGGCTGCAATTACCATTTCACCTACCTAATTTTTATCTCCAGTTGGATGAGAGTGAGTACTTGAGAGGAATTTGAGGCATGATGTGAACACAAGAATCTTGATTTTGGTCTCAAAATAATTATTTATTTATCTGAAACTAAGTCCTGCTGTCACTAATGCAAGTGTATCTGCATTGGTTTCTTCATAAATATATGAAGAAGTTGTACCTCAGCACTTGTACCTCACAGGATCACAATGATACAGATTAATTAATGTGTGTTAATGGTAAGATCTGGCCATCAGTATTTATGTTGCATGTTTCAAGATCTGTCTCAAAATATGATTTTGGATGGAACTGGGCAGTTTTAGCATTGCCACTTAAAGTTTACCTGAATTGTCAGGCTGGTGCTTATGGATCTAACTGCCTGCAATGACAGAGCTGTTTTGGGAGTGAGTAAAAGCCTGCTGAGTGGAAAGAAAATCAGGGTGAGTAATGCAGATGAAAAAAAGGACTGGGCTGAAGTCTTGTCATCAGTTAGGAAAAACAGCACAAAGAAAAAGAACAAGTATGTGAATGATCTCAAAATTGGCACGCCCTGAAGAACAGCCATTGGATTATGGTGGCTTGGAAAGTCACCGTACGGCTGAGCTGCGGTGACTGTCCAGCTTCCCTGAAATGTGACACAAAGCACATTAATTAAACCTCAGTGAAAGAGGCTTCAGCTAACTTGCTGTCTTCATCTCTCGTCACAACAAGGTGTGGTGTAAACAGCTGGTGGCTGTAGAAATGTTCAGTTGACATTTTAAGCTTCCGTAACTGAAAGAATGTCTTGTCTGAGCCTTTAGTTTTACTTTTAAGATGAACCAGATGACTTAATCCATGGTTTCACAGGCAGCTAACCCAAGCTAACAGGGACTAAAAGAAATCTTGTTCCTTGTGTGCCTTCCTCTACTTTTGGCCAAATTGACCCATCCCCATTTGTTGGGTTGGTGATAGCAAACATCAGAGCCTTCTCTAGGCTAAATCAGCTCACTTACCCATACAAGAAAAGTAGCTATGGGTTGGTTGGTTAGTTTATTTTCTTGCTGGGTTAGTGAACTGAACAGGTTTGTGGAGATTTCCCCCAAGCTATGCAGGAGGGGAGAAGAGCAGGACCAGCCCATGCTGCAGGGATCTAAAATCATAAAATATCCCGAGCTGGAAGGGACCCATTCTTCTTGTTGTGAGCTGGGAAGTCAGTTCACTCTCCCTCAGGCATCTGCACCCTCAGGACTTGTGTCTTGAGGTGTTCTCCTCCTGCTCTGACTAGGGTGTAAAGATTTGGATTTATTATGAGGATGCAAACTGTGTCTTCTCTATGTCATATAAAAAAAATCTCCCTAGCTTGGATCTGAACTACATGAGAGATGCCTGTTACTTTAAGAGCATTAATAGGATGTGTGTTTCTTTTTAAAATGCTTTTAAGTAAAACTCTAATATGGAAGCAAATGTAGCCAAAAGCCCATGTTTTTGCCATTAGGATTTATATTCTTCAAGGAGCTGCTGGTAAGCTATGTCTGAGTTGTTCTCCAAGTATAATGTCTGTCTTCACTAAGGCTGAATCCCAGTAAAACTATGATTGCAGGCTGTTTTCTAGTGGGGGGAAAAATTGCTTTGTAGTTGAACACAAAATTAGGGGTAGGTAAAGTTTAGGTATTTGCTGGTTTTTTACTTTAGTTTTCTGAACTAACAGGTTTTTTTCTTTTAAGGAAGTTGTTAATTGTTACTGCTAGTGATGGATCCTGAGGGAGAACGCAGGTGCCTGTGATAATACTTCAGAGCATCTCTTTCTCTTAAGATGTGGAAGAGCACATCTGGTGATGGCATCTTTTAAAGCATGTCCTACACCTTGTCATGTCTGATGCTATGGATGGACTATGTAGGATAACCATGTGGTGAGAAATGCTCACATTTTGGCCAGTCGCTTGGTCTGCCTTCCTGCAGAATGCCTTTGGGCCTTGGAACACGTCATTTCATCTTGTCCAAAGGCCAGTCCCTTTCTGTGAGCCCTCAGTCTCAAAAATTAGCACAGTATTGATTTCTTGTCCCTTGGTCTCTGGAAAGGTGTTTCCAGTATTCAGACATTCCAACTACCAAACCTGATACAGAAAGTTTCCGAGATTTTCATGTTTTTAATACAGGAGTGGCCAAAATCGACAGGAAACAGAAGATGACATTGTATCTACCCCTGTAAATCTGATAGCAAAAAAAAAAAAGGGATTTGCCAGTTTAGACCCATGTCTAGGTCAGGCCCATGTTGGGTAGGCCCATGTCCAGGTTAGGCCCATGTTAGGTAGGCCCATGTCTAGGTTAGACCCATGTCTCAGTTGGTAGTGGTGTTTTATTCTATTTTATTTATTTATTTATTTATTTTACCACAATAATTCTGTTTCTTCCTGTGAGTTACAGAAAATATTTCACTGTGTTGAGAGATTTGTGTAACTGTGTAACTCAACCACACCAATCCTGCCCTGATTCTGTTACAGAGTTTATGTATCTAAAGTTTGGTCTTTGGCTCCCAAATTTAGGGGCTTCTCCTTTGCTTTTGGCACAATTTTGGGCTTTGGGCTCTGGTTCGGTGCTCAGCTGCCACTTGGGCTTTTCTCTGTGTATGTCAGTCCTGCCCATCCCTCCTTGTGCCCTTGAATCCAGCCTCGGAGTTTGAATTCCTGCCTCGTTGCTGGAGGAT